GAGCTGAGATGGCGCCATTGCACTCCAGCCTGGGCAACAAAAGTGAAACTCTGTCTGAAAAAAAAAAAAAGAGAGAGAGAAAGAAATATTTGCCACCCCAACTACATAAAAGTATTTTCCTGATTATAGGTTATTCTTTTATGTTTGCATTTAGATTGACAATCTACCTGATATCAATTTTTGTACATATCTAATTCAGCTAGCATACTTAAAATATCATCCTCCTCCCTTCACTGCACTGTCACCTGTGTCATAAGTGAAAATGACAGCATATGGATTAGGTCTATTTCTTGACTCTAAGTTCATTGGCCTGTTTTTTCTGTCCTTATACCAATTCTACATTCTCTTAATTACAATAGCTTGTTTTTTTAGATCTCAAAAAAAAATTCCTTTGAATAGCTTCAGGAGTACAAGTGGTTTTGGTTATATGGATCAACCGTATGGTAGTAAAGTCTGGACTTTCAGTGTACCCTTCACCCAAATAGTTTACATTGTACCCAGTAGGTGATTTTTCATCCCTTACTCCCCTTCCACCTCCCGCTTCTGAGTTCCCAGTGTTCATTATTAATTACAATAGCTTTATATTTTAATCTTAGTTTGTAATAAAATGTTTGAACTTTGTCATTTTCCACAAAGGTTTTAAAAAACTGACATGCCTTTTTTTAAAAAAGTAAATATGTTTTAAGTCCTTGGGGAATAAAATTTAAATCTAAATAGATCTGTTTAAAACATAATCCAACATATTTTATGATGAATGAATAGATCATTGCCAATTCTTTATTTACCAGTTAAAATTTTAAAAACCCTGAACTCTTTATTTTGTGTGTTCAGATATTCACTAAAATATTTCCATTTTCAAATATGAAACTTCAAAAACCATACAAGAATATATTCACAAATTACATTTAGACTGTACTTCTCACTGGCCCAACTCCCACCCCTTGACCTCAAGGGGTCTGGTGTCCCTGGGATAGTGCATACTCTCCAGATGTGTCCCTGTAGGTGAGGTGCACATCAACACATTCACATTCACACACAGTCTTCTCCAAAAGCGCAATCACAGTCTTGTCATTATAAATTCTCAGGATTTAAAAATATTTGCATCTCATTTGTTCTTGTGGTTTTTGTATTTTTAAAATTTTATTTCTTCTTAAAAACAAAACAAAACAGGATACATGTGCAGAACATGCAGGTTTGTTACATTGGTATATGTGCGCCAGGGTGGTTTGCTGCACCTATTGACCCATCCTCTAAGTTCCCTCCCCTCACCCCTTACCCCCCATCCCCCACCCCTCACCACCTCCTGGTGAGTATTGTTCCCCTCTTTGTATCAATGTGTTCTCAGTGTTCAACTCCCACTTATGAGTGAGAACATGTGGTGTTTGGTTTTCTGTTCCTGTGTTAGTTTGCTGAGGATGATGGCTTCCAGCTTTATCCATGTCCCTGCAAAGGACATAATCTGATTCCTTTTTATGGCTGCAGGTTTTTATATTTGTAATGTTTATTGTTCATGTATGTACTTATTTGAATTTTCTGTTGAAATCATTGCCAACTGTTTTGTTACCAAGTATGTTTCACAAATCATGGGTACTAACCCAATATCTGAGATGTAGTTTACAAATGTTTTCTCCCTTGTTTTAATACAGTCTTTAGTGTTTCTTTTTCCCTTTCACTAAAAACTATGCAGGTCATAATTTATAAAGACAAAAACATTAAAAAACACCTGCAGAGCAGATACTGCCAGCATTGAAGGAGATTACAGCACTCAGAGTTCTGGAGGCATCGAGACAAAATGAAAATAACAACCAAAAAAAAACCTTAAGTAATTCCAAAGTTAGCTGCTGATCAGGAGATTAAAAAGTTGTCTTTCTGAATTACATAAACTCTCCTTAAACTTAGTTTCCTGATTTGAATAATTATCAGAATGACGGGTATCTTTTTTTTTTTTAAGACAGAGTTTTGTTCTTCTTGCCCAGGCTGGTGTGCAGTGGTACAATCTCGGCTCACCGCAACCTCTGCCTCCCAGATTCAAGGGATTCTCCAGGTTCAAGGGATTCTCCTGCTTCAGCCTCCTGAGTAGCTGGGATCAGACACGTGTGCCACCATGCCCAGCTAATTTTGTATTTTTAGTAGAGACAGGGTTTCACCATGTTGCCTAGGCTGGTCTCAAACTCCTGACCTCAGGTGATCCACCCGCCTTGGCCTCCCAAAGTGCTGGGATTACAAGTGTGAGCCACCATGCTTGGCCATGATGACGGGGATCTTAAATGGTTGTTAGGGTAAAAGCAGATGAAATATAGAGTGCATTTGCTTACAGTCGTTCAGTACATGTTACTTTCCTTCTCTCCAGCTCACCTGTCCCAAGGCCAACACCTGAGCTTCTGTCTGAGCCCACTCACTCCAAATCAAATTTAAACTGCACCTCTCACTGGCCCAACTCCCACTCCTTGACCCCAAGGGGTCTGTTGTCCCCAGGATAGTGCACGCTCAGACCTACAGGTTTTTGTAATTTTTAATGTTTATTGTTCATGTAGATACTTATTTGAATTTTCTGTTGAAATCATTGCCAATTGTTTTGTTACCAAGTATGTTTCACAAATCATGGATGCTTATATCTGTGATGTAATGTACAACTGTTTCCTCCCTTGATTTAATACAGTCCTTAGTGGGGTTATTACACACTAGGTCTACACCCAGGTCTCTTGGCACAAAGCACAGGATTTCACCTCCTCTGTCTTCCTCATCACCCAGAGGGGTTGTAGAATAAGGACCTGTGGGGCCACAATAGCAGGCGAGTGGAATCTGACCATTTCTCAAGCCCCGGAAGCCCATCTGCTAAAAGGGAGGTGCTCAGAGTCCTCTAGGGAGGGTGAGAGATGGAACCTCATTCCAATCCTGCCACTTACCTGGGAAGGTGACTTAGGTTCTGAAAGCCTGAGCTTGGTCATCTGTGAAATGGGACTGACCATGCCACACTTACAGAGCTGTGTGAGGGGTTAATGAGAAAACCTTCCCAGAGAATATGACATGAGATGGGACTTTAATGGTCCTTTAAATGTTGGAGCACAGCAGCAGTGGTTGGCTGAGCCTCAGGGCTTAGGTAGTCATTACGAAAAATCATTTTTCATTGTTTCTCCAGATGGGAACACAGACATCCAGACAAAAGAAGCAAATCTCTCTGATATGCCTTCAGTTTAAAGTTTGAGAAACAGAATGTTCTCTACATTCTTTAGTGTTTCATAGTCTCATAAATACTCTTCAGCATCATGCCTATCAGCAGACCCAAATCCACTTCCCCATGGTGGTAAGACTGGCGTGTTTGTGAACTCACCTGGTGAGCTCCACGACAGATTGCATCAGGGACACAAGGGGCATTGATTGCCTAATGAGTGTTCCAGCACTGCTTAGTATGTGTGTGTGCATATATACACACACACATATAGATATGAATATTCTGGACATATCCTGCAGTCACCTGTGCAGGGTCCTCAGATCATACATAATTCAGCCACATCACATCAAAATTTCAATGACCTGCTGCCTATCTGAGAGACAAAAATCCAGGAATTACTAGCATTTCTGTAACACACAATTGTTCATTCTGTTATTAGGTAATAACTAAATATGTATTGAGCTCAGAAAGCATACTAGTTCATTGGAGGTGTCTCATTAACTCTAAAGTGGAAACAAGAGAGCAAGAAGGGAAGTGAATATATGGGCAACTTCACAGGTTAAGTCTGAGATGAGATGGCTTCTTCACATTAACTTTTAAACTTGCTCAAATTTCAAGGAACTGAAGTTTTTAAAAAACCTCTTTGGATCCCTCATCACCAAAGTGATGAGAGAGAGAGAGACTGACTCTCTCTCTCTGTCTCTCTCTCTCTCTGCCGCCCTCTTTTTCTGTCTCTTCTTCCCCCTCCCTGTCCATCCCCCATTCCCCTCCCTCCCTCCTTCCCTTCCTCTTTCTCTCTCTTTTTCCCTTCAAAGTCAAGAAAAAAAGTTTTCTGCATTTCCTGTTGACATTCTTCACTTCCCACTGACTCCTTATCCCACTGCACTATGGTTTCTGTCCCCAGAATTATGATGTAGATGCTCTCCAAGGTCGCACTCCAGCTGTTTTTCATCATGACCAGTTTTTTGTATAAACGTATTAACATATGAAATATTCCTGTCACTCCGGCTGGAGTGCAGTGGTGCAATCTCAGCTCACTGCAACCTCCATATCCAGGGTTCAAGAGATTCTCCTGCCTCAGCCTCCTGAGTAGCTGGGATTACAGGCGCTTGCCACCATACCTGGTTAATTTTTGTATTTTTAATAGAGATGGGGTTTCACCATGTTGGTCAGGCTGGTCTTGAACTCCTGACCTCGTGATCCTCCCGCCTTGGCCTCCCAAAGTGCTAGGATTACAGGTTTGAGCCACTGTGCCAGCTGAAATATTCCTTTTAATGAGCTCCTAAAATATCCATGTTTGCACAGTTGCATCTTTCTCCTAACAACAGAGATTTCACAATTTCTTAGACTCCGGAGCAAGATGTACTGGACATAAATCCAACTTGTCGCACTCCCTAACTGTGTGGTCTCAGGCAAAGTACTGGACATAAATCCAAGTTGTCACACTCCCTAACTGTGTGGTCTCAGGCAAAGTACTTATTATTTCTGTCCCTCAATTTTTAATCTATGAAATGGAGATTAGCCACAGTATCTACCTTGTGAGGGAACTACGAGCACCAAATGACTCAATACCTAAAAATCACAACCTATTTTAGCCATTTTTATTTCATTTTCTCCATCTTTATTGGCCATTAGTATCTCTACTATCCCTACAGTGCAGCTTGATATTTACTCACATCAATGACTTTTGACATATGTTATTTATGAGACAAGCAGGTTACAAAAGAGTAAATAAGATGCAATTAAGTAAGTAGGATGAAACTTTGTTTTTCACAAATAAATATATAAATGCATGCAGTTCTGCTTAAATATATAAATACCTGAATAAAGAAACTTAGAAAAGAATTTATACAGATAAACACATTAGTAGGGCTTGTCTTTGAGTGCTCTGTTTCGGAGTAGTGCTATTTATTTCCTCTTCTATGCTATCTATTTTTAACTATAATAAACAGCTATTGCTTTTGCAATTATATAAAAATAATAAAATGGCAGTGAAACTTAAGCATTGTCAGCCCAAAGCACAGGAAAGACACTGATATTTAGAATGAAGAATGTTCCTGAGACTCAGAAAGGGGGAAAATATATTGTGGGAACCTCATCTACATTATAACAGGTATATTTTCCCCAAATTCCAACTCATGCTGATAATTATCAATACTTTACTTTTTTCCTAGTTAATTGGGAAAAATCAAGGTACTATCATGTAGTTGTATTTCATTCCCCTGAAAGATACATTGAGGTACTAACCCCAGATACCTGTGAATGTGACCTTATTTTAAAAATAGAGTCTTTGCAGATGTGATCAAGATGAGATTATTACAGAGGACTCTAATCCAATATGACTTGTGGTCCTATAAGATAATGAAAATGCCATTAAAGACAGACACACAGGGAGAGCAACATGTGGTGACAGAGGAAGAGATTGGAGTGATTTCTCTGCAAGGAAGCAACATCAAGGATCTATGGCCATCACCAGAGACTCTATGGAACAGGAAAGGAAAGATTCTTGCCTTAAACCAAAAAGGAGCAAAGCCACTCTGACACCTGGATTTCAGACTGATATTCCTTGAGTCTGATGTTTTGTAGACAGATTATTGACATTCTTGGGTGTTTCAAATGTGTTGCATCCAGAACTGTGAGAGACTGAATTTCTGTTGTGTTAAGCCAGAAGTTTGTGGTACTTTATACAGTAGCCATAGGAAACTAATACAGAGCCTTAGTTTTGGTTAGCTTTTGGTTTTTAGCTTTTGGTTTTTTTGTTTTTGTTTTTGTTTTTGTTTTTGTTTTTTTGCTGCACCCTGCTCAACGGTAAGGCTGGAGGTCTAACAAGTAGGAGTAGCACATGCTGGTTAAATTTACTCAGGAGCCACACAGCCTGCGTTCAAATCTCAGCCTCACAACCTGCTTGCTAACCCTGCCCTTGTATGTACCCCAGTTCTCTTATGTTTAAAGTTGGCAACAACCACTCCTCTTCATAGATGGTGGTGAGGATTAAAGTATACATTTAGAATTATAGCAGTGTCAGGAACTGAGAAATATCACAATAAATATTAACCATTTCTATCATTATTTTATATACAAATTGACCAGTACTGTTTCTATTGCCATTTTTATGATAATGTGGATTTTAATTTATTAGCATGGGTTGAACTTCTATATATATTTGTCATAAAAAAGCAGTTTACAAAGCTAAAAGTAGGATACTATTTTATTTCTGTTCGTAAGTATATAGTTATAGTTGCATAATATAATTCCTGAAAAAAATTTAAATGTTGACAGTGCTTATCCATGCATAATAAAATTTTAAGGATTTTTTTTTAAATTGTACTTGAGGTTCTGTGGTACATTTGCAGATAATGCAGGATTGTTGCATAATTTTAAGAAAATTTTTAAAGATTTTATTCCCTTCAGGTCTTTTCCATTTTTATCTACAAGAAAAGTGTCTCGGTTTTGGAAGTGAAAAAAAAATAAAAACAAAATACTCCTGCCATTTTCATAGGAAAGTTATTCAATGTTAGGAATGATAACATGTATTAACCAAGACAATTAGGTACTAGGGTGGTCCTAGAATTAAAGTATGAATCTATCAACATGACAGCCCCAGTTGGGCAGCTTTAGGGAAATTACAGACACCCAGGGGAAGGGCAAGCATGTCTCTCAGATGAATCTTACATTCAACAGTCAGATGACATTTCTACTTTTCAAGATTTTAGTGAAGGTCATGAGATGAAAGTGGTTTCACAACATGCTTCTTTCTGTACTCGCACAAATAAAGTCCCTTGAATTGATAGCAGGCACCTCTGTTTACCCATCTAGTTGGCCAAACAGTGACTGCCACAGGGGAAGGAAAGGGGAGGGACTGCATGAAACCACTAGGGCTCAGTACCACAGCTTCCAGAGGAGAGAATCCTAACAGCACAGGATTCAGGGTAAAACTAGAGTCACAGTCTCACTAGGCTCAGGGCCCCAGGAGTAATCAACACACGTATGAAGTACCTTGCTTATACAATTAAAAATATTAAATGGAAAGGAAAATATACACATGCCTATCACGTGTAATACCAAATCAGATCAAGTTCTAAATGGGATGCATACCTAAACTAACCCAGGGATTTGGACAGTAGATTGGACACCTAAAAACCAACTCCTGGCAATCACTGACTTTTTTAATCAAGATTACCCAGATTAGTTCCAGATTTACAGGCATAGATGACTAATAGTGTGAATAAATGTTGGGAAATTGTGCCTGGACAATGGGAATATATTTCATGTTCAAGATACACTGCAAATCCCAGCTAATTGGGAGGCTGAAGTGAGAGGATCACTTGAGCCCAGGAGTTCTAGGCTGTAGTGTGCTGTGATTGTGTCCGTTAACAGCCAGTGCACTCCAGCCTGAGCAATGTAAAGAGACTAAGAAGACCCTGTCTCTAAAAAAACAAAACAAAACAACCCACAGAGATACGCTATAACATTGTTTTGGGGTGACTGGCACCTGGGAAACTCTTAAGACTTTGAACACAACACATGTTTTAAAAACATCACTGAAAATGATACGCACCAATTCTGTTAGTGCTCGCTATAGCATGTAAACTAGAAAAGTGGGTGTGTCTGGTTTAGCAGCTCTGAAAGACAGTACACATGTAGAGAGGCATATATGGCAGGTCACAGTGTTGAGATATGAATTAGTATTTGTTCTTCTCATCTTTCTTCTTTTCTCCTGTTATATAGCCAGACAACTACAGATAAAACATCTGATAAAATAACACCATATTTCATGCAGAAATATATACATATGTAACGAAGGATAAATTATGAAAAGTCTAAATGCTTGTTAACGATTACTCCTTTGTAAGAAGGAGGCTAATGCAAGCAGAAGAAACTTTGAATTTCTTTCTTTTTTTTAGACAGGGTCTTACTCTGTCACGCAGGGTGGAGTGCAGTGGTACAATCATGGCTCAGTGCAGACTTGACCTCCCTGGCTCAGGTCATCCTCCCACCTCAGCCTCCCAAGTAGCTGGGACTACAGTTCTCTGCCACCATTCTCAACTAATTTTTGTATTTTTTTGTAGAGATGGAGTTTCACGATGTTGCCCAAGCTGGTCTCAAACTCCTGGTCTCAAGTGATCAGCCCATCTCGACCTCTCAGAGTGCAAGGATTACAGGTGTGAGTCACTGCGCCCCACCCAGACTTTGAGTGAATTTCAATTGTACATGTAATGTTTTATTTCTCAATATGAGTATATACAAGTATATTCTTTTTGTAAGCTTTTTAATGTCTAAAATATTTCAGAAAAAGAAAACTTTCTTTAGTTCTGATTATAAAAATGATCTGTATGAATTTAGAAGTTGTGGAAAATATAGTTATGTCCAGAAATAAATATATAATTAATCAGTAATTCTACTACTCATTAACTTAAAAAAGAGTATTATGTTTGTATGTTACCCCCACTTATACTCTGTATGCATGCATCATAATGTACATTCATTGCATGTGAGTCTAACATATTGAGACATTCAAGATTTGCAACCAAACTCTGACTCTCAAGTCACCATCCCTAACGATTGGGGTATACAATCTTTTTCTAAATAAGGGCTGTATTCAGCTCAGGGGAAGTATCTTCTACACAAGGACAGATCTGGCATTCAGTCCTCAAGTCTCCTGATTTCAGTCTGTTGTACACAATAGTAATCTTTATGCTCTTTTATTCTGTACTGTCTCCTTTCTGGGGTTTGAACAAAGGTTCCTATTCCAGTGTCAAAATGGAAGTAAAAAGGAAGAAAAGAACACATCAAATAAAAAGTAACAAAGTGATTATTTGATTCCAAACTTCCACCATTCTCACATATCTCACCCACAAAGAAATGTCACCAAAGTTCTATGTCATATAAGTATGCATGTTTCCTTTCCTAATGTTTCAAATTTAGATGACCTCTGTGAGATGTTCATGTTTAAGTCTTTTGTGGAAGGGAAAACAGAGGGAAGACAAAATGTATATTTATTGAAATATTATGTATCAGATAGTTTCTATAGTTTTGCTCATTTCTCCTTATAACAGTTTTATGAGGTAAATATCAATATGCTAATTTTATTGATGAGCAAGGTGAGGTTCACTAAGGGTAACTCACTACCACAGCATCATACAATAGAAAAGAGTGAGTATTCTTCCCTCATCCCAACTTCATCACATTGCATAGCACAGAGATGGCACTAAGTTTCCTATGTAATATAGATGAGTGTGCGTGGTTCCCTTCTTACATTCCCAAATACTCACTAAAATATAGTGATGCTATCCAGATTATGAAAAAACATCCCTGTTAAAGATCATAAGAGTTAAGATGGGAAGGAAGCAAACACTGGCACTGTGAATGACACACCAAATACTGTGCTGGCATCTTGACAAAGATCTCCCCTTGAACAGGCCATAATACTCTCTGGAGTGTAAGGATCAGGTGTATGTGTGTTTGTGGTGAAACATGCAAAACAATACTATGTGTTATTTATGGAAGCTCTCATATGGAATAAAAGGATAAAGCAACAAATGGGAATGATGATCATTGCTTTCTGGATGCTGATTATCTATAGCAGAGAAGGAAGGGGATGCAATTAGGGAAAAGTAAAGTTTTTTCCTAAGCTGGACTAATTTCATAGCTCTCTCTATTTTTTAACTGAAACATTTCACAAGTCACAGAGGTTTTAGGGGATATAGTTTTTTAAATCATAAATACAGACATTCCCCAACTTTTGATTTTTTGACTTACAATTTTTCAGTTTTACGATAGTGTGAAAGTGGTACACATTCAATAGAAACTATACTTCAAGTTTTAGATTTTGGTCTTTTCTCCAGCTAGCAGTATGCAGTATTATACTCTCTTGTGATTCTGTTAGGGAGCAGCAATGAGCCACAGCTCCCAGTCAGCCATGTAATCACAAGGATAAACAACTGATACTCTACAGTGTACAGTGTTGCCAGCATTTTTTGGATATTGTTTTGTGTTTTCACATCCCATCTTGTCTACAAATGTCCATTTTTGACCTACAATTGTTTTCAACTTACAATGAGCTTATTAGGATGTAACTCCCATAGTAAGTCGAGTATGGAGTGTGGAGTATGTAGTATGTATAATCCATATTCTCACCTTAGCAAATGTTTAATATTGAGCCAAATGCAGAGGTTAAAAATATCAATAGCCAGCAATGCCCATCATAATTAAAATTAACATGGTACTAGATCTTTCCAATGATTTTTTATACATGGATATATGCACATGTACTGTACATACATTACAAATGCAATTCATAAAGCTCTTATAATCCTATGTACAGTATAGTATTCTGAGTTTTTTGTTGTTATTTTCAGTTTTCTTTTACCTTAAGTATTTACATGTGGATGAAACATTCTGAGTACATGACAAGGTATAAGATATAATCTAACTTTGCTTTTTAATGAACCCTTTATAGCTAGCCAGACCTAATTCCTGAACAATATGTTTGATTGGAAATGCCATACTTGTAGCATCTTAAATGATGTTATATGCCTGGGTCTACTCAAAAGCTTTCTTTAGACTTCTTTAATCTGCATGTCAACCACTCTGTCCAAAATTTATGGAATTATAAGCTCAGAGAACATTGTAATACCTGGCAAAGTAATCCCCACTTTTTTCTTTCAGTCTTTGTATGCATGGTAGGAATAATAATAAAAGACATAAATAGTTACAGGGCACACAGTAGATAAGTTGGTTGATATAGATCATGCAAGCAGCAAGTAATGATTACCAGGGTCAAATCCAAGTCCTTCTCACCCAAAAGCCCCCTCCTCTAACCACTGTTTCTATATTGAGTGTTCTTCTGTGTTAGACCAGAGGCCAACAGAGGGAAGGAACTCACCCCAAAAACCAGTCTGTTGATGGGTCAAGTAACTGGGGTATAAATCTGATGACTCCCATCTTCTGTCCAGCTGATACATTATTATTCTTTGTTCTTCTGTACTATTTCTTCTTCCCAAGGCTCAATCAGAAACTCCTTTACCCATATCACACTAGAAAGAAAATAAGAGAGCAGTACATGGAATCAAAGGAACGATCAAATAAGACCAACATTCATTTATTGTTACCGTATTTCTAGATGTTCTCTGTTTCAAACCTTCTACTTCATAAGGCACAAGTATTTTTCTCTTGGAACCAATAATCTCTTTTAAAAGAGTGCTTCCCAAAGATACAATTCAAAAAGACAAAAAGGCAGAAGCACAGGGTCATTTTTGGTAGAACAAATTGTAACAGCAGAAGACCCAAAATGTGACAGATGTCCACCAATAAAGGATTGATTGAATAATCTAAGGTACATCTACATCCTAGATTTCAATGCCAGTATAACAAGCAAGGAAGACTCCCTCTCTCTACTGCTATGTAGTGATCTCCAGGATATTCTGTTAAGTGAATAAATCAAAGTGCAGAAAAATGCGTAGAGCTGCTGTTATCCCATACCATAGCCACTGGCCACTCATGGCTATTTAAGTTAACTAAATTTAAATGCAATTTTAAATTCACTTCCTCAGTCACACCACATATTAGGTGTTCAAAGTCGCAGGTGGCTAGTGGCTACTATGCAGGACAGTTTAGACATAGAATATTTTCACCTTTGTAGAAATTCTATTTGTTTCCACCAATGTGGAATATGTCACCTTATATGTATGGAAAACTAATAGAAATATTCTATTTGCTTTTATTTTAAAATTGGAAAGTTTTAACGAAAATTGATTTTTAAAAATTGTTACCTATAATGAGAAGGAGAAACAACTCAGGATGGAAGCCAATGATGTATTTTCTCTTAAAAATATAATACATATATACTGGCTCCATGCACTGGAAAGGTGAAGAAACATGGTAGACTCAGTAGCAATGAGCAACTCTAGTGCCCATACTGAATCCACTTAAAACATATCACACTGAAAGGAACTAGGTTACCTTGGAGAAGTGGCTGAGTCTAGGTCTGTGTAACCATTCTACTAGATGAATGTGGACCAAACTATCATACCAGAGAGTACATCAAAAGACAGAAGCCAAGCTTAAGGGGCTCTCGCTGGACACAGATGAGGCAATTTGAACACTAAATAAAATAATGACTACTATGGATTAAAACACAGTAAATATAAAAACTTCTAGAACTCATGATAACATTCTAAAAGAAAAGTAAAGCAAACAAAATCAACTCATTGCTTACCTTTAGAGAACCCTAGGGAAACTTACTATTTTTAAAAGTGGAAATACTGCAAAAGAGTTAGGCATTCATTCAGCCCTTCCTATACATACTACCCCTCAGTGTAATCTAATACTTTATGAAAGGAAGTTTCTTTAATAGAGTAATTCCAGCTAATAAAGCAGAGAAAATTATAGAATTATAATATCATCCTTTTATGACCTTTAATGAATACAGATCTAAGCAACAATCCTTGGAGGTTGCAGAAAAATCGAGGTGAAAAAGGGATGGGAAATTTTATAATGGATAGAAAAGCTCAACAATATTTGAACATAGTAATTAATCTTAACATCACAAGAGGAGAAACAATTAGACATAATGAGCCGCCTGCGTAACACTATAGGAATAAACAACACCACATATGAATTACTTCTGACCAAAAAAAAAAAAAAAAATTTTTTTTTTTTTTTTTTACAGTCCAGAGGTCTTTTATTTTTTTAACACCTATTATGCCATGAATTCATAGGGAATAGGTTCCAGCAGCTCAGGCTCCTTCCCACTGGTTCTTGCAAAGTGTGCTTCTCTGGGTATAGCAGGCTGGCGCTTCAGTTGGACCCAGGTACCTTTCTCTTTGGCTTCTTTCTTTTTCTGATCATTTTCCTTCACATGTTTTAGGAAGCTATCTTGGCTCTTAGAGTGCTTGATGTGCTCAATACGCACATTAATTCTCTTGGCAAGAATCTTACCCTTAACTTGTTTGTTTACAACAATGCCAACAGCATGCTGGGTAACATTGTAGACTCTTCCAGTTTTGCCATGATAACATTTGTGGGGCATTCCTTTTTGAACCGTACCCATTCCCTTGATGTCTACAATATCACCTTTCTTATAGATTCGCATATATGTGGCCAAAGGAACAACTCCATGTTTTCTTTTTTTTTTTGAGACAGAGTTTCGCTTTTCTTACCCAGGCTGGAGTGCAATGGCGCGATCTCGGCTCACCGCAACCTCTACCTTCTGGGTTCAGGCAATTCTCCTGCCTCAGCCTCCTGAGTAGCTGGGATTACAGGCACGCGCCACCATGCCCAGCTGATTTTTTGTAGTTTTAGTAGAGACGGGGTTTCACCGTGTTGACCAGGATGGTCTCGATCTCTTGACCTCGTGATCCACCCGCCTCGGCCTCCCAAAGTGCTGGGATTACAGGTGTGAGCCACCGCGCCCGGCCTAATTCCATGTTTTCTAAAAGGCCTAGAGAACATGTATCGAGTGCCTCTCCTCTTTCCCTTTGTGTTCGTCATTTTGGCGAATTACTGGAAGATGGCGGTTCCGGCCGAAAGGCAAAAAAAGAAAACAAAAAATCTTAATTGAATCAAGCCTCTGAATCTAACACCAATTTTAAAACAAAAGGAAGAAACACAAGAACATAATAAACAACAATTTAAGAATATAACCAATAAAATCCACAATGCAAAATGCACAGGACAAAATATCCATTCTTGTAAGCAAATAAATTGGAAAGTGTGATGGTTAATTTCATATATCAACTTGACTGGGCCACAGAGTACCCAGACATTTGGTAAACACTGTTCTGGGTGTGTGTGTGAGGGTGTTTCTAGATAAGATGAACACTGAATGAGTAGACCGAATAGAGCTGACTGCCCTCTCTAATGCAACTGGGCCTCATCTACTCAACTGAAGTTTTGAATAGAACAAAAAGGCTAAATAAGCATGACTTGCTACACCTTACTTCCTGAGCTAGCATATCAGTCTTTTCCTGCTTTTTGGGACTCAAACTAAAAATTCACCTCTCTTGGGGTCTAGAGACTGCCAGCTTTTGGAATAGAACTTAGATCATCAGCTCTCCTGGTACTCAAGTCTTCAGATTTGGACTTGTACCACCCATCAGATCTCCTGGGTTTCTGGCTTGCCAACTGCAGATCTTCAGATTTTTTGGACTCCATAGTCACATGAGCCAACTCCTTATAACAAATCAATCTCAATCTCTCCCTCTCAATCTGTGAGATATATATCTTTATGAATATATATGTATAACATATATTTATATATTACATTTATCCTGTTTTATATATAAATAGGATATATATATGTATGTATGTGTGTGTGTGAGTGTGTGTGTGTGTATATATATATATTTATATATATATTTTTTTCTATTGGTTCTGTTTTTCTGGAGAACCCTGACTAATACAGAAGGAAAATCTTTAAATTAAAAGAAACTTAACACTTCCAAGAACTTATAATTAAACTACAGTGAGATGCTACCACAAGACCACCAGAACAGCAAAATGAAAAACGGAAAATACCAAGTATTCATGAGGATATAGAGCAAGTAAAACTCTCACAAGCTGCTGATGGGACTATAGAATGGAACAGCCACTTTTATCAGCTGCCTGTTGGTATCCATTGAGCTGAACATACACATACCTTATAACTCAGAAGTGCCATAGCACATTGGTACATACTCAAGAGAAATGAAAATATACATCCATCCAAAAGAATGAACATGAACATTCATAATACCGTTATTCATAAGAAGTCAAAAACTGGAAAATACACAAATCTCTATAACAGATAAATGTAGTGCGAAATATCCAAATAATACAATAGTTTACACCAATGAGAATAACCAATCTACTATATAGACCATAATAAATATTAATTTCACATACATTATGTTGATTGAAAGAAGCGAGATACAAAAGGGCACATGCCGTATGATTCTAAGAATTTTATTCTAACCTCCCAATAGAGTTTAGGGCAGGAGAGGAATATCAACAATTCATTTTCTTTTATTTTAAAGTACTTAGTGTCTTTTTATGTTATCTGTAGCTTAACCTCAGATAAGTGAAGCAAATTTTTTCTGAGCCCTTGTAAAGTGATTAACTACATGTAAGACGAAAAGCTAACACTATATCTGATGGACAGGCAATGGGTTGTGAAAGATTCAGGCAAGAATCCTAAATGGATGTTCATTCTGCACTAAATCCCACAGCAGTCACTGAGTCACCATGGTAACCATTCTGGTCAAGGAAAGCTGACAAAAAACGAACACCACTACCCCGAGCTTGTTCCTAATATGTACTAGGAACTAAATACGATTGACATGATGCACAGTAATTAATCTCAAATAGTCCTGACAATAAATATTCCTGACAGCTTCAGTGACATACAAATGTATACATACTAACATACATACATGCTTGCTCACCCTCTCACCGCCCCAAATCCCAGGAATTTATTGAGGTAGATTTACTGGTGGGTAAAGAAGTAAAACTAGCTGGGCATGGTGACTCATGCCTATAATACCAGCTACTCAGAAGGCTGAGGTAGGATTGCTTGAGGTCAGGAGTATGAGACCAGTCCGAACAACATAGCAAAACTCTGTCTCTGAAAAATGTTTTTAAGTTTAGCTGAGCATGTGGCACACACCTGTAGTCTGTTATTCAAGAGGCTGAGGTGGGAAGATTACTTGAACTCGGGAGTTCAAGGCTGCAGTGAGCTATGACTGCCCCGTTGCACTCCAGCCTGAGCCACACATGACAACAAAATCATTTCTGACCACACATATAAAGTTGAAAGCTACTAAACTATGTTCTTGTGGTGTGATTTCTAAAGATGACCTGTAGAATTGTCTCTGCAACATTTTCCTCCATAGTTTCAACATATGGCCAATGACTTGTAAAAGCAGATATGGAAATACAGGTAAACACAGGTTAAGGATCAAATATCCTTTCCATCGTAGAGTAGGCTGTGCTTTCAACCAAAAAGATCCCTCACTAATATTGTTAAACATTTGGTTGCTGATAGTACCATGAAAATATAATAATTAGCAATTGTGTTTAACAAATAAAGCCATATATAGCATCATCGAAAGTATAAAATATTTATGAATATTCTGTCCACAGATGTGCAATACCTTACATTGAACACCACACAACATTGCTGAGAGAATTAAAGAAGACCTAAATAAGCAGAGGACATACCATGCTCACGGCTCACAGACAATACTGAGATGATTCAGTATTGTTAAGATGTCAAGTATTCCAAAACTGATTTATAGATTTAAAACAATTCAAATAGAAATCCTCAAAAATTTTTAAAGAAACTAACAGGCTGATTCTAACATTCATATGGAAATGTAAAAGACCTAGACTATTGTATTAGTCTGTTCTCAGATTGCTACAAACAAAAACCTGAAACTGGCTAATTTATTTATTTGTTTTTTAAAAAGGGGGTTTCTTGGCTCACAGTTTTGCAGGCTGTGCAGGAACCATAGTGGCATCTGCTTCTGGAGAGGTCTCAGGGAGCTTTTACTCATGGCGAAAGGCAAAGCAGGAGCAGGGGTCTTACATGACAGTAGCAGGCAGGGGGAGGTGCTACACATTTTTAAACAACCAGATCTTATGAGCACTCTATCATGAGAACAGCACCAAAGGGGAAAGTCCGCCCCCAAAATCCAATCACCTCCCACCAGGCCTCATCTCCAACATTAAGGATTACAATTTGACATGAGATTTGGGTGGGGACACAGTTCCAAACCATATCAACTATGAAACACAACTTTGACAAAGAATAAAGTTAGAAGACAAACACTACCTGATTTCAAGACTCCTTACAAACATACAGTAATCCAGACAGTATGCTACTGGCATCAAGATGGATTAGTAGATCAAAGGAACAGAATAAAGAGTCCAGATATAGACCCACAAGTATATGGACAACTGAGTTTTGACAAAGATGCAATGGTGATTCAGTGGAGAAAGAATTGTCATTTCAACAAATGGTGCTGGGACAAGTGAATATTGACATGCACAAATGTAAACTGTGACTCAGCTATCACACTATATACAAAAGTCTATTCAAAATGGATTTGAGATCTAAATATAAAATTTGAAGCTATTAAACTTCTAGCAGAAAAAAAAAAAAACAGGAGAAAATCTTTGTGACAATGGGTCAGGTGAAGATTTCATTCATGAGACACCAAAACCACAATCTATAAGCAAAGAAATCGAAAAATTGGACTTCCTCAAAGTTAAAAACTTTAGTTTTCCAACTACATGGTTGAAAAAATGACAAGTAAGCCACAGACTGGGTTAAAATGTTTGAAAATCATATCTGATAAAGGACTTGTATCCAGAATAAACAATCTTAATCAGTAAGAAGAAAACAGATACACCAGTAAAGAAACAGGTAAAAGGTATGAATAGACATTCCACTAAAGAAGACATACAAATATCATAAAAGCACATGAAATGATGCTCAACATCATTAGTTGTAAGGGAAATGTAAATGAAAACTACAAAGACATACTACTAAACTCTTGTGAGAATGACAAAAATTAAAAAGACTGATTACACTAAGCTCTGTCAAGGTCGTGGAGGATGAAACTCTGAAACATTACTGGTGGTAATGAAAAATGGTGCAAACTTGGAAATAGCAGTTTCTTACAATGTTAATCTTACATCTACCATATGATCCAGCCATTGCACTCCTAAGTATTTATTAGATAAAGAAAGCCTATTTCCATGGAAAGACTTATTCACAAATATTCATAGCAGCTTTGTTTACAAGAGCTCCAAATTGGAAACAATTCAAATACCCAACAACAGGTGAATGAAAAAAAAATTATGATACAGCCATATACTGGAATACTATTCAACAATACAAAGAATGAACTATTAATATGTGCAACAAAATAGATACATCTAAAAATAAATTGGGCGAATGAAAGAAGCCAAACCAAAAATCAAAAACAAACACACAAAAACATTTCTATTATTCCATTTAAATAAACGTCTAGGATATAAAACTTGATCTATAGTGACAAAGTATTGTGTTTGTCTGGGGACAGGGCAATAGGAGGGATAGAGAGTCCTAGTAGTACAGAACTGAAAATCTTATGTAGTGGGAAACAATGACAATAATATTTTAGGCCTAGTTGGTTACCTTATGGGACATGGCTGGTTATCATTATAATAAAGCAAATTATGTGGAAATTATTTTTCAAAATATTGAAGTTTTGTATCTGACATTTTGACAGTTTTAACTAATACTTTGTATATTTCTGCCTTCTTAAAAAATCATTATAGAATGGATAAATACATGATTACCATTGAAAAATGCATATTACAATCTCCAGTTGCTTGGAAGACCTTCTGATCAACTGTGTATTTCAATGCCCATCTGAGAGATACATGGGAATCACTGATTATACTGGCAGAAAACATGTAAATTTATTGAAAATACATGTTAAACACCAAGTTGCTTCCCCAAATGAACTATTCATTGCTTTGTGACAATGAAAGGTATTTTTAACATGGGCCTCAAGGGCCACTACAAAACACATAGCTGCTGATGAAAGGAAATTCCACCTGCTAAACCTCTTCTCCAAAGATGGGATCAAAGGAGTTTCTCTACTGTTAGACTATTTTATAAACCTCAAAGAGCTATTCCACAACATGCTTTTTTTGGATCTATTAACTCACTTGTGCCAGGCATCATATCCCACCAGGGATGGAAGTCTTGGGAGTCTCCTTAGGACTGCTGCCCTTCAAATCTGATGTAGAAGCTTCAGCAGCCATCAAGACCCAGATTCTCAAAGCCCATCTTCTTCAGACACCTGATATGAGCTCAATCACCTGATGAAGAGCTTCACAGGGACAGAGAGAATCCAGCAATCACTGTGCTTTCTTAGAGTAACACTGTGCCAGGAATCATGCTAGGCACTGTGTCGTGACCAGTGACACTGATACAATTGTGTAGTGATCATTACAACCAGAAGATACAATGGGTTTCTCATCAGGGCCTTTTTCTTCTCCTTTCCTCATCTATCTCCTAACAACAAATCTGTAAAGGACTAAGAAGAGGCTTGAATTCACACACGTATTCCTGATCGTGCAATAAACACAGGGCTATGGGCTTGCACCTGCGTTATCACTGCAGGTTGCAGCAATCTTGTGGGTGAGCATAATTATCCCATTTTACAGAGGGGAACACTGGGCTCAGACAGTCCTTACCTGTCTCATCCTCCCATGTCTCACCTTTACATAGAAAGTAGCTCCAGGACACCCAGAGCAGGACACCACACTCACTGGAGCCAGGAGGGTCCCAGCTCTCTCCCTCATAAAACAGTGAGAGCAACTTATTTCAAAGTGGCAGTGAGAAGACTTAGATCTGGGATCCCTTCATCTCCCTACAGCCCAGGACAGTTCAGCCCCCACTGTGGGGCACCCACACCCTCAACGGAGTCCCAAACACCAGAAGATGGGACCCTGCTATTCTCACCAGCCCACATGGGTCTCTATTAAAAAGTCATCAAGGTCACAGTAATGACTTCTGGTTTCTATGGCAACCATGATGCTCAGGCTTGTCCTCCACATCAGAAATGCTTCTGCACAGCCCTCTGTCCCCGTGCCTTCCTCCAAATTAAAAAAAAAACAAAAACAAAAAAAAACACCTTTACTCTTCAGGCCACCTCCTGAGAAAGCTTACTAATTAGAGGAACTAGCCTCAGACAAGGGTAATTTGTGGAACTCTGCCCAGCTTGGTGAAACAAAGCATAATCCCATTGGCAGGAATACTGCCTGCTTTAAAAGTGACAGTAGTTGAGTACCATCACGACACAGAGATGCAAGGAGATATCCTAGGGCTCCTGGTGATGAGCTAACTCTCTGAGGATGATGTGTAAAACTTACACAACACACTAAGCAGTTAGCTATCTGTGGCAGAAAACTAAGAGATTGTCTATGTGTCTAAATGATGTAGGAACACCAAGAGATGTCATTTAAGATATCTCAGTTATTTCAGGGAGGCAGGCCTATAATAATGCAATCATTTAGTGGGCAGAGATCTAGTCAATTGAAACATACATTGGCTCATTTTGGGGAATTCTTATCTACCAGTCTTAATATTTTGTTCCATGTGGAGAGACATCGATACCCAAAACACTCCTGACCTCTGGATACACTCACTCCTTCTCCATCACAGGAATGCCTCATCTAGTTGGTGAGTTTGGATGGAGAAACAGGTTGCACAGCCCAGGTTCTTTCCCTTCAAAACTCTTGGTTATTATCTTCACTTAACCAAGCATATGTTCTTCTCTGCCCTCAGGGGTGGGTCTTACAATAGGTCCACAGCTTTACTCTCCTGTGTCTCCTTGGCTCCCCAACTATTCCTATAGTCTTAACAATGCTTAGATATTTAAGGGGCCCCCAAAATACCCTCCAGCTCCAAATCTGAGATGTATACTAACTGAGAAATATGACGAAAGACTAAGAACAATAAATTGACTTTATAAAAGTGATACTGGAGAATGTGACATAGATTTGCTGACGCATGGGTTTTCTGTGAACAAACCCCAGAATTGGACAGACTTATCCAGTGCTACATTGGGACCATCACAAAAAACCAAGGCCTGCATTGCGTATCTATCTGCTTTCTGCTAAAGGAGCCCTGTCTATGTATGTCCAAGGAAAGTGACTTCCTTGTTGAGGGCTATCCCTGTAGCAGGAGAAAGTCTTTCAGGACACCTTAGAGAAACACTTCTCAAAGTGAATAAACACACCTGTACTCCTTGCATACTCACCAAGCAACCTGCAGAAGATACAGGTTTCCATATGGCTCAGGAAGCAGTTTATATCAACAGTCTCTCAATTTCTTAACGTAAGTGATTGCACTGGAGGCTTATCCTACAGAGAGAGATTGGAATTATGTTCTAAGTTCCAAGAGTGGATTGAAAAGCATATTTTATGAAAACCTCCCTTGAAAATTCCATCAAGAAGGAATTAATAGGATATTCTGAAACATATACCCACACATAAACTAACACATAGACTAGAGTCAAAATTATAACAAAGCCTCCCCAAGCCTTCATGATCTGTGATCTGAGAATAGAGCACAAAAAATGAAGAAAAGGTCACCAAAACCATAAAGTTTTAGATAACCACTTGTACTTTACAAAATGTTCCCAAACAATAGCAATTTATTATCTCTCAGGATTCTATGAATTGACTGAGGTTTGTTGGGTGCTTTCTGTTCTATGTGGTGTCTGTCACCTGGGGCTGCAGTCATCAGTATGCTACACTTGCCTGGGACATCCAAGAGAGCTCACTCACATGGATGACGAATGGTGCTAGCATCTGCTGGGAGCTCAGTGGGGCTGTTGCATGAAGCATCTTGGTTCAACACGAGTCCTCTGTGAGTAGAGCTGTCAGATAAAATAGAAAACACTCAGACAAATTTGATTTTCATATAAACAATGAATAATTTTTTAGTGTAAATGTGATGGTGACTTTATGTTTCAACTTGGATGGGCCACATTGTTCAAGTATCTCAGCATTGTTCTGCATGTTCCTGCAAGGGTGTTTTCGGATGAGATCAACATTTAAATTGGTGGACTTTGAGAAAAGCAGATTGACCTCTATAATGTGGGTAGGCCTCATCCAATCGGATGAAGGCCCGAATAGAGTGAAAATCTTACCTCTTTTAAGCAAGAAAACATTCTACTAACAGACAGCCTTCATACCTGAACTGCAACATTGGATATTCTCTAGTCTCCTGTCTGCCAGCTCGCTCTGCAGATTTTGGACTTTCAGCCTCTCTAGTCATGTGAGCCAATTCTTGAAAATTAATCTCCCTCTCTCACCATATACACACGTGTGTGTACATGTGTACACACATCATATTGGTTCTCTTTCTCTGGATGTGACATGCAATTTTTTATTTTAATTCAGCTGCACATTCTGTATTTTTATTTGCTAAATCTGGAAACCTTAGGAAAAGAACCTCTGAATATGTAAGTTTAATGACCACCTGAGATGACCTTCCCAATAAGTCAGGGCGGGTCTGGGGACAATGAGCAGATCATATTGAAAAAAAAAAATGGCAAGAGCTGGTAATACCTAGTGTTGCTTAAATAAAGGAGAAACAGATTTTCATATACACTTGGTGCCACATCGAAGTATCCATTTTCTGAGGCCCATATTATTATTATTATTATTATTTTTTTTTTTTTTTTTGAGACGGAGTTTCGCTCGTTACCCAGGCTGGAGTGCAATGGCGCGATCTCGGCTCACCGCAACCTCCGTGAGGCCCATATTATTACAGCTGAATGACTTAAATGACCTTTGTACAGAAGTCCTATTTCAACCAACAAGGGAGTTTCACTTGAGGATTTAGAAAAGGCTCATCAAGGTGACTCTGATGTGCATCCTGATTAAGGGGCCCTGGTCGCTGGGGCAGGTCGAAGTGACATACGAATTCCCTGCTCCAGGGGGGAATGATAGCTTATGGAGCAGAATGTTTATGGAGCCCAGCTCTACTTATGGAGCAGAGTGTTTAGAGGAGCCCAACTCCAGGTTGTTTACATTACTGTCTGGATTTTATCTCATGACAGCCCTGCTAGTGAGCTACCAGTATCCTCTCTTCTTCACAGATGTCTGTGACTACAAAGCACGTGTTCCTAACCACAGAGCTGGATGGCAAAGAGGTTTCTCAGCAGGCCTACTGCCAGAACTTGCCAGCCAAGGCACCTTGAGTTGCTGGTGGCAGATCTTTAGCACAGGACATACATTGTTAAGGAGGTTAGTATCTGTTCTCCTTGTGTTTACCCTCTGTATTAGCCCATTTTCACACTGCTGTGAAGAACTTCCCTGAGACTAGGTAATTTATAGAGGAAAGAGGTTTAATTAACTCACAGTTACACATGGCTGGGTGGGTGCAGAGGATGGGGGAGCACTCAGGAAACTTACAATCATGGAGACAGGTGAAGGAGAAGCAAGTACCTTCTTCACAAGGCGGCAGGAAAAGAGAGAGCATGAAGGGGAAACTGCCAAACACTTATAAAAGCATCAGATTTCAAGAGAACTCACTGTCATGAGAACAGCATGGGGGAAACCACCCCCATGATCCAATCACCTCCCATCACGTTTCTCCCTCAACACCTGGGGATTACAATTCAAGATGAGATTTGGGTGGGGACACAAAGCCAAACCATATCAGCCTCCCTGAATTTCCAACAAAAAAACAGGTTTGGGCCTCTTTCCCCCATCTCAGGGAAAGTTTGTAGCAGGGTTGGAAGCAGAAGCTGTCTGAAGCCAGTGTTTGCTTCATCCTGTATGAAAACTTAAACTTAAGGAAAGGATTGGACTGCTTGTACTTGGCAGGGAGGGGAAGGGTTCTGAGGACACAGAGAGGGGAGAAAAAGAGCAGTTTCTCCCAGACAGGAATGAGGTCAGAGGTCTACAGTTCCCTCTGGGAGTAGGAACCTGAGCATTGCTCCATGTCAGTGTTTGGAGAAGCTCTGTATATGGTTCATCAAGGTTGGACATTCAGCCATGAGACAGATTCTCTTGTTTGGTTGGAAGGATGGATAACTCAGGGTTGGGAACAGGGGTGGGGCTGAAGGTAGCAAACCAGCTAGGGAAATGGTCAGCTCAGCCCTCAGCAGTGGGGACACATGAGTAATAATGACAGGGACCTCCCAGGCTATATGTGGAGGATGCGTTTTCACAAGTGATTATTCTTTGTCAAAGAGCATGACTATTGTTTATACTGTCTAGTTGAAAGTTAAAATCTGTTTACTAACGAATATCCCAACCAACTACAAGATGAGAGCACCTGTTTCTCTAGATTTGTGCAATAATGGGCTTCCCAACTTTATTAATATTTGCTACTTTTTTATACTGTCACTATAATGTCAAAATACTTTTATTTTTCTCCATCGATAGCCATATAAATGGCATATTTCACATGTGTATTTCTAAACACAAACATAACAGTCCCACTTTATGCCTCAGAATATGTCCTTGAATAGTCCTAGAGTTTGATAAGAAAACCTGATAAGTGAGTTTGTGTTTATGCTGTGTCCTATTTAAATTGAAATTGTGGAGTCATAAAAATCCCATACACTGCTTCAGGAGGACAAAATGGTACACGGTATCTGCAGAGACACTGGGAAATGTTTATGAGAGAAGCAAGCACGGCCCCATCAGCTGCTGCTCTCTCAAATCTGCACTGCAGAGAGTCTCTGGCACATGTGCAAGAATGGTCATGGCAGCGTGGCTAAAATATCAAAACAGCCCCAAAGTCACCTTATTAGAGACATCTCAGAAACAACATTTTTAGGAGAAAACATTTCAATAAGTGTTTGCTACGATTTGGATGTTTGACTCCTCCAAACATCATGCTGAAATCTGATCCCCAGTGTTGGAGGTGGGACCTAACAGGAGGTGTTTGGGTCATGGGGGTGGATCCTTCATGAACGTCTTGGTGCCATCCTTGCTGTGATGAGTAAGTCCTTGCTCTATTAGTTCCCATAAAAGCTGGTTGTTGAAAAAAGCCTAGCACCTGCCATATCGTCCCCCTCTCCCGCCATGTGGTCTCTGCACAAGCCAGCTCCCCTTGGCCTTCCATCATGAGTGGAAGTTTCCTGAGGCCCTCATCAGAAGCAGATGCCCAATCTTGAACTTTCCAACCATCAAAATTGTTAGCCACATAAATTTGTTTTCTTTATAAGTTATGCAGCCTCAGATATTCCTTTATAACGATATTAAATGAACTAAGATAGTATGAAAATATATGGTTTATTCCATTTACTCATCAGGACAGCAGTGTAAAGAAAGTATGGTGAGTCCCATCACACAGATTACCAAGATTTGGCTCACAGAGACTAAGATCCTCTCCAGATAAGTGGTAGAATGGCAATGAGGTTCTATCTCTTGCCCCCCACCCCCAACAATGGAACCAGCAGCTTCCCATTTGGAAGATAATTTTACGCTTCCCCAGTATTGTGCCCTAAGGGTACTCACTCAACAGCCCTTCACATTGAGGAAGAGGACAGTGGAGATGAAATCCTGCCCTTTGGGCCATGAGGCATAGCTGTGGGGTCATATGGATTACCAGGTTTCTAAGGTTAACTGTGGGGTAAAATAAAGAAACGTGGAAAAAGAAAGAACAAGGAAAGAACAGAAAACAGCAGGTCCTCCAGGGATCACCTCTACCTCTCTCTGTCTTTGCTCCCTTCCCCACCCCATTTGTCCCCTGCTCTTTGTGACAGTGTGGGATGTAACAGGAATCCAAGGTACCCTGAGAGAGGACAGAAAGATGGGAAGACCCAGACCATGAGAAGGGTGGATCAGGCAGCACAAGTCCTGGAGCCTGTGCCCTGGTGTTGGCTCACCCACCAGGCGCTCCATCTCTACCTGCTTCTGTGTGCCTCACCATCACTCTACCACACAGCAATGAAGCTCCCACATAACAGAAATATGCACTCTCCAAGGGAGGCTAGCAGGGGAAGTGACTTACCCTGAGTCAAGAATGTTCCAGATTTTTTGGTTTGGGTTTGGCACTAGAATGCAGAGAGAGCTCCAGTCTCTCTTGCTCCAGTGTCCTGCCCAGCAGACGTAGTATGAGGTTTTCATCAAGCCCCTCAGGAGTGCAAAGGAAACACACTTCTCTCATATACAACAAGGTGGGGGAAACAGGGGTAGGAAAACTATGAAACAGGAAGAAATGGGATGAGTGAAGACTTCATCCCTGTACCCCAAACTTAATTAATGGGGTCCATGACTCAGTTGGATGGAGATGGTAAAACCACCTTCTTCCCTTCCCCAAGGCCCATCAGGGTACTCATTCCACCACATAGAAATGGCACTGACTCACAGTGAAATTAGAAATGTGTGTTTTCCTTCTTCTCTCTATATGCTCTCTAGGTACATGGAAAATAGTTACTGTACACTGGAGAAACTTGACAAACACCATCCTTAACCAAATGATGAAGGTTAACATCACCAGTGACTTCATGCAGGCATCATATACTCCCAGATATGATGTGACAAGAAGGGTACCCGAACTAGTGGTATTCTTTCTCAAAATCTGTAACCGCAGTCAAGTCACAAAAGAAACAATAGACTGAGCTTGTACTCCTCAAGATTGTCAGGGTTATGAAAGTCAGCTGGCAGTTCCTCAGATGCCAACAGACAGTTACCATATGACCCAGAAATCCCACTCCTAGGTATATACCCAAGAAAAATGAAAATCTATGTCTACATAAAAACTCATGCATAAATGTATATAACATCATCATTCATAACAGGCAAAAAGCAGAAATCATCTAAATAACCACCAATAGAGAGATGGATAAACAAAATGTGGTATATCTTTAGAATAGAATATTATTCAGCCTTAAAAAATGAATGGATTCTGCTACATGCTACAATATGCATGAACCCTAAAAACATCATGCTAAATGAAAGAAGCCAGACACAAAAGACCAAATACTGCATGATTCCATTTACATGAAATGTTCAGGATAGACAAATCCACAGAGACACAAAGCATAACTGTGGTTCCAAGAGCTGAGGATAGGTGCAGGTTTAACTGCATTGAAGCACAATGGGAGTTTTGGGGACAAATGAAATTTCTAAAACTCAATTATGGTGATGGTTGTACAACTCTATACATTTAACAAAAATCACCAGTCTTAAAATGAATGGATTCTATTGTCTATAAATAATATTGTAAGAAATTTGTTTAAAAAATGTTGGCCAAGTCTGGCCGGGCGCGGTGGCTCATGCCTGTAATCCCAGCACTTCGGGAGTCCAAAGTGGGCGGATCATGAAGTCAGGAGTTCAAGACCAGCCTGACCAACATGGTGAAACCCCTTCTTTAGTAAAAATACAAAAAATTAGTTGGGCACAGTGGCACATTCCTGGAGTCCCAGCTACTCAGGAGGCTGAGACAAGAGAATTGCTTGAACCTGGAACCCAGGAGGCTGAGGTTTCTATGAGCCAAGATAACACCACTGCACTCCAGCCTGGGCGACAGAGCAAGACTCCATCTCAAAAAAAAAAAAAGAATATTGGCCAAGTCTTCTATTGTACCACAGGAATGACCAAAAGTTTTCATACAAAGGCTTTGGTGTACATGTTTTATATAAACACGAATGTACATAAAGCTGAAGCTGTATCCCAGCCCTGACTCTATGTCCTGTGTTCCTCCCATGACCTTTCCCCCACCCCAATGCTACCTGAAGTCTAAATCACATCTGATCATTTTCATGTCTTCCAAATGTTGTGATGGCTTGAGATTGGGACCACAACAGGGTCCCGGGCCTTCCCTCTATGACAGGATGCCAGCATTATTACTTTCCTTGCCCCTCTCCAAACTTTTTCAGGCTGCTCTACTTTAGGGAGCCTAAACGGCACCGACTCTCTGGATGTCAGCATCTAAGCACCAGCAATTTCCTTTTTAGATGTTTAACTTCAGGATGTAGTGAAGGATGTTGATAAGGGTCTGGTTATAAGGACTGCCATCCTAACAATACCCTCTCTTTATTGCTAGGCCTGAATTTAGAAAGGGAGAACTAAACAGGATGCAAAGCCATGAAGAGGCAGAAGGAAGCAGAGGAAAGTGTGGTTGTCAGCACGCACACACTTGCACACATTCACACACACTCACACACTCATGCACTAATCAGGGTTCTATTATCACAATACTAGAATTTTTCTAAGACAGTTTGCTGGGTTCCAAGAGGACACATTCAGCTCAGCAGTACAAACCGCCATAGGAACTGTGCCCTGTAGCAGAGCACAGACTTTGAAAAGATGCCAGTGTAGATCAAAGGAAATATCAGAACACTCTGAATAACACAGGGTTGAGTAAACTGATTATGTCACATCCATAGGATGGAATTCTAGGAGGCAGTAAAAATAAGTTATAATGAAAACAATAAGGGATAATTTCTTGCCTAACCAATTAGCAATAATCAACATTATTTCCAGTGTGTGAGCAGACACGTACATACCATATTGGTAGGAATATATATGAGTAATAATGTTATCAATGTATTGTGTTAATATAAAATTTTATTGATTTCATAATGAAAGAGCATTTTGAGAATCTTATAAAGAAACTCTTACAAATATATTTGCATATATGTGAGCAAGGATGTTATGTTTGCTACTGTTTATAATAAAACATGGTAAAGTAACTACATTTCTATCTCAAAGTGAAATAAATGTAGTACTATCCATATGATGAAACATCCAGTTGATGGAAAAAATAAAAACTAAAAATATGTTGTAAAGTAATTTAAAATGTTGTGATAGAAGTGTATTTTCATGGAAAAATGGTCATAATAAAGTCAAAAGCAGGTTACAAAGATCATCAGTAGCCAGGATCCATTTTTGCTCATATCCATCTACAGCTATTTTTCCAGAGGACTCAAAGCATACAAACAAAAATCTTTTTCTTGCTCCCACATAAAGCCTTCTCCTCAGCATTGTGAGAGGCTGCGCTCTGTTTGGAGGCCATCAATATTCCTTTAGCCTGGAATTGCTCGATTTTCCATCCAGGCTTCCAGAAAACTCCATAGAGTGAGCTTGGGCCAAACTGCTCCTTCCCACCTTCCTGCTCTGATGTAAAAGCTGCAGTTCAGGCTTCTGTCACGAGGGGGCATCAACCTACCTTCATCGTTAAACCTCTACAAAGACGTTTACGCCATGAGCAAAAAAATAAGAATAAAACACCCTCCACTAAAACCAGCCCATGAACCTATGGACAGAATGATTCTAATTCTTCCAGAAAAAAAATTGATAGGTGTAAAAGAACACTACAAAAGCATATACTCCATGGCATGTATACGATGAAACATCGTTTATCACGAGCGTGCCTTGGCAGTGCTTAGCAGGCTGGTGTAGTGCAAACCCGGGCAGCAGAAGGTGACTGGGAGAGGATGGGGCACGGGAATGGGGTCTGGGCGGCTGTGTCCATACTGTCCCGGGGAGGGGGCGCCTGAGAGGAGGTCTAGGAAGCCTGTACAGGGGTGGGGTAATGGAGAATGAACACCCTGCACTCTGGGAGGGACCCCTTTACAGTATGGACACCTCAGCCTGCACTAACAAAGGAAGAAATAAATCAATGAACAAGATGTGGATTTAGAGTCAACAGCAAATGGACCTGCTTTAATATACATGCAAATTTTCCAAAGAAAACTTACAGTAAACGAACCATTCCAAGACATTTGCTACTCTTTGAAAAAATGTACTCTTTTTCATTAGAAAAAGGAAAAGAATAATGGAGTTAGACATTACTTCAGGCCAGAGTCAGGATTGCAGCTCTCAGTTTCAGACTAGGAGGATCATCAACTGGGAGGGACAGATGGAGGTTGGGAGCTTGGCTGAAAACTTCAGTATCAGCCAAAGTTTTCTGGAATTATTCACCTAATGGTAGCAATCTCTTTTATCTTTCATTTTTCCTGTATATCTAAAAGCAAGATTAGTTCTAGACCACCAACTTCTAAATTGAAGGTAAAACTGTACCTGTGTGTGTGTATTTGGAGTAATTTAGCTAGAGGAGACACAGACACAGACACAAAAACACACATAGGTAGAAACACGGTCAATTCAATTTTTATCTACTTTGTTTTACCATAAAATTGAATACATTGAATGTTTTCACAAATTAGTGAATATATGTATACAATTCTTTTGTCAATCTCTTCATAAGGATTTTTTGTGTTCAAATTTTTATCAAAATACTCTTCTCAATATAAAGTTTCAAAAAATATGCAAAAGTATACTCAAAAATAGGAATTTTAACCCTCATCTCTCACAAACCTGACTCCTGCCCCCTGACCCCAAAGAGTCTGCTGTCCCTAGGATGGCACATACTCTCCAGATGTGTCCCTGTGAGATGCACATAAACACGTCCCCCCCACCACCACACACACACATTGCCTTCTCCAAAAGTGCAATCACAGTCCTCATCTTGACATTTCCACTTATTATAATTTCTCAGGATTTTTAAATATTTGCATCTTATTAGTTCTTATGGGTTTTGCATATTTAATATGTTTATTATCCATGTATATACTTATTTGAATTTTCTGTTGAAATCATTGCCAATTGTTTTGTTAATGAGTATGTTTCACAAATCACAGATACCAACCCAACATCTGAGATGTAGTTTGAAAATGTTTTCTCCCTTGCTGTTACTGGGTTGTTTTTCTCTTGGAAAATGTTTTAAATTGCCATAATGGGACTTAATTATTATACATGTCACAATTTAAAAAGAAAAAACATTGCAAAACACCTGGGGAGCACGTACTGTCAGCCTGGAGGGAGATTAGAGCATTCAGAAACCTGGAGGCATCAAGAGAAAATGACAAAACTTTGGAGTATTCCAGAGTTAGCTGCTGGTCAGAAGATAAAGTTCTCCTCTGTTCACAAAAACTCCCGTAAAGGTAGCACCCTGATCTGAATAATGATCATAATAATGGGTACCTTGGATAGAAGTTAAGATTAAAGGAGGCCAGGTGAGGTGGTTCATGCCTGTAATCCCACTGCTTTGGGATACCGCGGAGGGGGAGGATCTCTTGAGGCCAGGAATTCAAGACAAGCCTGGGCAACATAGCAGGACCTTGTCTCTACCAAAAAAAAAGAAAAAAAAATTAAAAGAGATAAAATATAAAGTGCATTGGCTTACAGTAGTTCAGTGCATGTTACTTTCCTTCCCTCTAGCTCTCCTGTCTCAAGGGCAACGTCTGAGCTTCTGCCTGAGCCCACTCACCACCTCAGCCAACTTGGTGTGACCCTACACCCAGGTCTCTTAGTACAAAGGACAAGATTTCATCTCCTCTGTCTTCTTCATCACCCAGAAGCGTTGTGGAATGGGGGACCCGTGGGGCCACAATGGCAGGGGAGTGAAATCTGGCCATTTTTCAAGCCCTGGAAGCCCATCTTCTAGAAGGGAAGCTGCCCAGGATCCTCTAGGGAGGGTAAAGGATGGAACCTCATTCCAATCCTGCCACTTACCTGGGGCGGTGACTTAGATTCTGTGAGCCTGAGTTAGTCATCTGTGAAATGGGACTGACCATATCATCCTTACAGAGCTGTCCTGAGGGGTTAATGAGAAAACCTGTGGAGAATATATAGCATGGAGTAAGACTTCAAGGGCCCTTTAAATGCTGAGACACAGAAGTGGGGGCTGGCTGAGCCTCTGGGCTAAGGCAGGCATTGTGAAAAGTCATTTTTCATTGTTTCTCTCCTAATGAGAACGCAGACATCCATATAAGGAAAGCAAATCTCTCTTCTGATATGCCTTGAGTTCAAAGTTTTAGAGACAGAATGTTCTCTACATTCTTGGATGTTTTCTAATCTCATAAAAGCTGTTCAACATCATGCCTCTGAGCAGACCCAAATCCACTTCCCCATACTGGGAAGAAAAAAGAATGATAGGGGCAAAAAACAAAACTGTGAATACATATGCTCCAGGATATCCATGCCATGAAATGGTAACTCTAGTGCATCTTGGCAGTCACTAGTCATCATTGGTCAGTGCAGGGCAGGCAGGAGGTGGCTGACAGTGGATGGGTCACTGATGTAGGACCTGGGCAGCTGTGTTCATAGTGTCCAGGAGAGGGACTGACTTAAAGGTGGGGGAGAAGGTCTGGGAAGCCTGTAATAGAGGTGCAGTAATGGAGAGTAAATGCCCTGCCCTCCGGGAGGGACCTATCCACCTTATGCACACCTCAACCTACACTGACAAGGGAAGAGATAAATCAATGAATATGATATAAATTTGGGGTCAACAGCAAATGGACCTGCTTTAATATACATGTGAATTTTCCAAATAGAACTGGTGTCATAGTAAACAAATCACTTCATAACATTTGTTACTCTTAGCAAAATGTACTCCTTTTCATTAATAAAACAACAAAAGACATGGAGATAGCTGTGATGCCTCCTGGTAGCCAAAGACAGGATCGCAGATTTGAGAGTCAGACCAGAGGCTCAGCACGGGAGGGAGCAGGACTGAGATTGGAGGTTAGCTTCACTATATCAGCCAGAGGTGTTTTTTTTTGAATTATCGACCTAATGATAGCAGTCTCCTTGTATTCATCATGTTCTAGAATATATAAAACTCAGATTGTTTATAACTCCCGTCTGAATTAAAGATAATGCTATATCTGTGAGTGTGTATTTGGGATGATAGAGCTAGAGGACACCCCCCCCCCCCACACACACACACACAATTAGATTTTTTATTTCTTTCACCGTATAACACAATGAATTTTTTTTCAAATTAATGAAAATATGTGCATATTATCTTTGACAATCAGTTCAAAAGTATCTTGTGTGTTCAAATTTTCATCAAAATATTTTTATTCCTAAATACCGAATTTCAAACAATATATGAATACATTCATAAATTGAAATTAATCAGTACTCTCACTGGTCCAACTCCCACCCCTTGACTTCAAGTGGTCAGCTGTCCCTAGGATGGTGCATACTCTCCAGTGTCCCTGTGAAGTGACACGTTCACCCCCAACACACTGTCTGTTCCAAATGTGCAATCACAGTCCTCATCTTTTGCATCTTGTTGTTTCCACTTATTGTAAATTCTAAGGATTTTTAAATATTTGCATCTCATTAGTTCTTGTGATTTCAGTGTTTTTTAATATTTATTGTTCACGTATATACTTATTTGAATTATCTGTTGAAATTTTTGCCAACTATTTTGTTACTATGTTTCATATATCACAGATACCAAACCACTATCTGAGATGAAGTTTGGAAATGTTTTCTCCCTTGTTTTAATACAATTGTTACTGGGTTTTAATTTTTCATTTGGAAAGCATTTTAAATTTCCATAATAAGACTTAAAAATTATACATGTCATAATTTAAAAAGGAAAAACTTTGGAAAATACCTGGGGAGCATGTACTGTCAGCCTGGAGGGAGATTAGAGCATTCAGAGACCTGCAGGCATCAAGAGAAAATGATAAAACTTTAGAGTATTCCAGAGTTACCTGCTGGTCAGGAGATAGTTTTCTCCTTGATTCACAAAAACTCCCCTAAAGGCAGTACCCTCATCTGAATAATGGGTACCTTGGATAGCAATTAAGATTAAAGGCCAGGTGAGGTGGTACGTGCCTGTAATCCCAGCACTTTGGAAGGCTGATGTGGGAGGATCACTTGAGGTCAGGAATTCAAGACAAGCCTGAGCAACATAGTGAGACACTGTCTCTACCCAAACAGACAAAAACAAGATTAGAGATGATATATAGAGTGCATTCGCTTTCAGTAGTTCAGTACATGTTACTTTCCCTCTCTCCAGCTCACCTGTCCCAAGGCCAACACCTGAGCTTCTGCTTGAGCCCACTCACCACTTCAGGGATCATCTAACTCATGTGGCCCAATGACCAGGTGTCTCAGCACAAGGGGCAGAATATCATCTCTGTCTTCTTCATCAACCAGAGGGGCTGTGGAGTGAGGGTATGTGGGTCCATAATAGCAGGGCAATGGAATCTGACCATTTCGCAAGCCCTAGAAGTACATCTTCTAAAAGGGAGGCTGCTCAGAGTCCTCTAGGGAGGGTGAGAGATGGAACCTCATTCCAATCCTGCCACTTTAGGTGATTTAGACTCTGTGAGTCTGAGCCTGATTACCTGTGAAATGGAACTGACCATAACATCCTTACAGAGCTGTCCTGAGGGGTTAATGAGAGTATATAGCATGGAGTGAGACTTCAGTGGCCCTTTAAATGCTGAGACACAGAAGTAGGGGCTGGCTGAGCCTCAAGGCTAAGGAAGGCATTGTGAAAAGTTATTTTTCATTGTTTCTCTCCTAATGAAAACACAAGACATCCATAAAAGGAAGGCAAATCTCACTCTGATATGCCTTGAGTTCAAAGTTTTAGAAACAGAATGTTCTCTACATTCTTCGGTGCTTCATAATCTCATAAAAGCTGGTCAACATCAGGCCTTTCAGCAGACCTAGTTCCCAATGCTGGGAACATGGGCATGTTTTTGAACTCACCTGGTAAGTTCAGATATAAATCACACCAGAGAAGCAAGGTGTGGTATTTGCCTAAGGGCCGCTCCTTGTATATTAATACATTTGTATTAATGTATTAATATACATTAATATATTAATGTATATTAATATACTGCTCAGTATATTAATACATTTGTAGAAAAAAATGTGGCCCCATCCACAGTCAGTATAGGGGTCCTCACATCATGCGTTATCCCACCACAGCACACCAGAATTTCAGCCACCTGCTGCCTCCCTGACAGGCAAAAGTCCAAGAATTATGAGCATTTCTTTCACACAATTTTCCCACTTTTAATCGCTAATAAGTAAATCTGCGTTGCGCTCAAAACCCATGGTATTCCAATGGTGGTGTCTCATTAACTAACTCCATAGCAGAAATGAGATGGTAGTAGGGAAATGAATATATGGGCAACTTCAAGGTTGCATCTGAGATTAGAGAGCTCCTTTACATTAACTTTTGAACATACTTAAGTTTAAAGGAATTGAAGCCTTTAAAATATCCCTGCTTAACCCCTTATTACCCATTCAGCAATAAGATATTTAATTCATTCTCTCTCTCTCTGTGTCTCTGCCTAACCCCCTTCAAATTTAAAGTACTAAAACAGTTCTCTACAGTCTCTGTTAACATTGTTTACTGTATTGACTCCTTATCCCCCTACCATGGTGGCTTCTGTCCCTTGATTGCAATGAACATGCTCTCCAAGATCACAAACCACCTTTTGTCACTAGGTCCAGTGTTCGTATAAATGTGTAACTATATTAAAATACTTAGTATTACTTTTAATGACCTCCTAAAATATGCTCACTTGTGCAGACTGCTTTCACTTAACAAATTTGCGACAGCTTCCAGGCTCTGGAGCAACATGTACTGGACACAAATCCAAGCTGACCCACTCCCTAACTGTGCAGTCTTGAACAAAGTCATTTTCTCTGTCCCTCAGTTTTTCATCTATAAAACAGAGATTGCTACAATATCTATATCATAAGAGAGCTATGAGCACTGGATGACTCAATACATATAAAAATCACTTGGTTAATAAGAAATTTTAGTCAATTTAAAAATTTCTTCAATGTGTCACTGATATTACTATCGTTACAGCCATAACAATATAAGACATAGATTGATGTTTGTTTATAATTAATTACATTTTCGGTATGTTGTTAGTGAGTATGTTAGTTTCCTAGGATTGCCACAACAAATTACCACAAAATCTGTGGCTTTAAAGAGCAGAAATTTATTCTCTTACAGTTCTGGAGACCAGAAGCCTGATACCAAGGTTTTGACAGAGTCACACTCCCTATGAAGGCTTGGGAGGAGAATTTTTTTCTTGCCTCTACCAGCTTTTGGTGACTCATAGCTTTCCCTGGCTTATGGCAGATTAACTCCAATCTCTGCCTCCTTCTTCACATGACTTTCTTTCCTGTGTATGTCAAATCTCCCTGTCCTCTCTGTTACAAGGACACCAGTCATTAGATTTAGAGCCCACACTAAATCTGGAATCATCTCATCTTGAGATCCTAAATCATATGTGCAATGACTCT